AAGTTAAAACCAAAACACATGTAGAAGAGTATTATCAAATTAACCACAGTGAATGACTCACATCCGATTCATTTCCTGATGAATAACACATTTTGAGTCATCTTTAGAGATCTCTGATGTATCTCCTTTAGATTGTTTCAACTCCTTCACTGCGGCTTGCAATTCCTCTTGGTTAGCAACTACGATTGCCCCTAACCTCCGTTGGTCTTGTCCCACAAGCACAACATTTTGTATCAGTTTGCTCTGTAGGATTGCCTCTTCAATCTCTTGCGGCTCAATATTCTCACCTGAATACATCAAAACATCCACAATTTATAACATCGAAGTTAGAAAAAATTAAATTATTTTATTCCCAGGACTAAAAAGCTTGAACGAGAAAATGAATAGCAAGAATGAAAATTCATCCGTTGAGATGACAAATAACAGCAGCTGTTATCTTCTTGGGGTTTTCTGTGTGTATGCAACATAATATGAAGGTATCGAGTTTGCCACGGGGACTTATGAACTATCCAACTATGATTATATTGTCAAAATATTCTTAACCATAATTCAATTAATGTGAGTACACACGTTTGCATGCATTATCACATATAATTGAACAGATGTATGCATGTATCCATGGTGTATTACATGACGTACTGGACCATTCCAAAAAAATCAGTTAATAAAGTCCATACCATTTGATAGGACAATAGTGTCTTTAGCACGTCCATCTAAAACAAAAAGCCCTCCACACATCCGCGCAGGCCCAACTGTTGAATGTGGAACTTCCCATCCAAGATCACCTGTCTCAAACCAGCCCTCAGTATCTGTAGCTTTACTAGTTGCTGTAGGATTCTGCACAAGCGACATTAGTGTGAGCCACAAAATCTCCCATCCAAGTAGAAAATGCTGGTCCAAAAAAGCACAGGCAGCTCGCGTTTACGGTAATCTTAAATTCGATAAAGCAAAATCTGTTGATTTTGGCTACATTCACTAACATTTCTTACTGTTACCGAAATGAATGGATTCCTAGACCTATTTAGAGCATAATCCACATTTAATGGGTTGGTTTTCTTGAAAAGTCATACCTTGTAATTGCCTTTCATTATCTGAGGACCACGGACTTTAACGGAACCTTTGATGCCTGGAGGGACAGTGTTTCCACTTTCAGGATCAACAACTTTAAACAGTCACTTAAAAATCAATGCACCTAGGATTCTTCTACCAATAATGAGGAGGTAAGGTATACTATTAAAGAAATTTCACATGGAAAATCGAAGGTCTTCGGTTCTCATTGAGGTTCATCGGTTCAAAATTATTACCAACAGGAAAATTTAAGCAGGTGATGCACACTCGGGAAGTTTATTTGTAAAACACACCTTTTTGATACCAATTGAAGCAAGAACTTTTGAGTAAACAAGTTTCTGCGCTAGAAGGTGAAATGTCAGCAGCAGAAATCCTTCAAACGTCGCCATTATCCACTCCTTGGTTGCGTCCACTTGATAGTATGATTCTCTTGCTTTCGAGACATCTCGGCCTTCTTGTATACGCTTGAAATCGACAAACTTAAGACTGAGGTCCAAGAGAGTAAGGCCGATCTGCTTTTGAATCTTGGAACCTGCTGTCAGTTGCTTTTGAACCCCACTGCACCCATATTCCCACTATGATGAATCACACAACAAAGATAAAATAGGATAGTTGTACATCATGACTGTAATCGTTGACTTACTTAAATTAAATATAAAGAAATCTACAACTATAAGATATGTTATTAAATGCAAATGCCAATATTTCATTGCAATCTTAACAATACTTTCAATTTAACGTACCTGTACAGCATATCAAACACCAGAGGGACAGAAACAAAGTAATCTGGTGGGTACCGGACCAAATCCTCCTGCAAGTTCAAGGATGATCGCATCAGTGCCCCTCAACATTGCAATACTGATGCAAAAGTTACACATCAAAATCCTCAATTTAAGTTCCGAGATACACCTGATACATCAAAAGTCAAACATACATATTAACATTCCAGAAATTATGTTTCACAAGTTTAGATTTTAAAAAATCATAAGAGAAAAAATTACGAACTGGTCTTCATATCTTGAATTTAATGGTGCTGAAAACTCAAGAATCAAGATAATTCACGAGAGAACTATACTTTCAAATATTTCACACTTGTGTACACTTGAGTAACACCACGAGAGAGTGCGAAATATTCAGCAGAACGCTCATACATGTGCCATGGTGGCAGTAAGCTCAGAAAGCGGTCACCAGGTTCTGGTTGCACAACGGACCCCAAGTGCACTATCTGTTCAAGCATACGTAGATCTTGAATCAATACCTTGAGTAAACTTGAAAACAGTGCCAATTCAACACAATCATAGAAGCTATAAAATTGTGGCTAACACGGAATTGGTACAGAAGAAGGACCTGATGAACGAGATTCGCATGAGTAAGCATAACAGCTTTAGGGCTGCCAGTGGTGCCACTTGTATAAACCAACGTCGCCACATCATCGGGACGGATAACATCATATTGAACACTCTCACCTGGTATAAATCAGTTCACGGTTTCTTCAATTTACATGATAATATAGACTTCATCCTCATTCACACGTATTTTCAAACCACTAATTAGAACCGATCATTTAAGTTCACATCCCAGCTTTCTCAGTATTTATATATGCCTTCTTAGTCTAATACATGCTTTCTCGTACAAAGATATCCTTCCCCCTCAATCTATTTTTAGTAACATCACCGTCAAATACTCTTCAAGCCGAGACACTCAAAATAGGTAGTTTCAAGTCGAAATAATGCCGCAGTAAGTGGAACCACATTTCACTCGTGCATTGCTCTGATGAGCGGCAAAGACAAAGAGTATACTGGTAAGAACCTGAATTAGCAACAGCAGCTAGAGCTTGCCGACAATTCTTTCCAGAAGCTACTAACTCCTCAAAAGAATAAATTGGATAATCCGCTTGAACCTTACTGTCTTCCAAATTGTCTTTGGAGGCCCATAGTACAATTACAAATTTAATGACATTGTTTCCCTTTAAACGGGCTGCAATCTTGTTGTAAAGCTGAAGGTTTTCAACAACCAACGCGACACTGTCACAAGATCAAGGCAGAATAAGGTTAATATATGATAGATGCTTCCAAGGCACTATTAGTTTCTAATGGCACAACTTAACAAATATTCACTAGTAAGTAAGACCTTGGAGAAATAATTTCGTTATAAAATTTATGAAGTGAATCAAGTATCAAATCCCAATTTTGCACAGCACTGATGAGACATGCAATATGGTTGCAGCTGTTAGTGTTGCAATAGCTAATTGACATTCCCAACATGCTCATTCAACCCACATAGTGTAATTATACAAAACAGTCTACAATAAGGCATAATAATCACCCCACTTTTTAATTCCGACGCACCTATCAGAATGAGTGAGAATGTGAAACAATTCATCCGCTGAAGATTTTGACCCTCTAACAGCAGCAGCAGCTCCCACAGCCATGATTACTGTAAAAGAAGTAATCTAAGTCAAGAACTAATAAAAAAAAAAGCACAGGTAGGAGATATCTACATTCTGTTTGCTGCAGATATCGAAGCTTTTGTGACTAATGTGAGGTAAGGAAACATATTACGTGTTAAAAGTCCATTTTGATCATTTGTGTTTCAGGACGTGCGCTAAAAGAGGAGTGAAACAGACAATATTGTGCAAACCTTTGTCAGCGATCAACCAGCGATAAGAATTTTTCGGCAAAGAGTGACATGTGTTGGTCTGGACAAATTCCACAGACCCGAAGTCCTTCAGCATAATCCAAGATGGATTGCTCGAGCTGCATGTAGTTGCATTTGCGCACCTAGGATCAGCACACATGGTGTTTCCAATACGTAGCAATTTGGACAATTCTGTGTGATTTGATTTCTCCCAAAGTCTTACCATGATGGGCTTGAAGAATCGCAGAACTTTTAAATGCTTGAGTAACAACGAATTAATTTAACTAATCGTTTGGCAGGGAATTTCACTGAAAAATTGAATTACATCTAGAACTGCAGGGGCAACAGTACTTTAGTGTTGGGTTTGGCTGCTCGTGTTTGTAGAAGAGAAGCAGAGGACTTTCAGAAGAAATGCTAGATCACCAGTAGCGCAGGTAAATTCAAGCAAAGCATTCCAAACACTTTATATTAAGATTGAGTAGTGGGAAATTAAACAACCAGGAGCTCAAGTAGGCTTAAAAATTGAAGAATAAAAACCTGTTTGTAAGTAAATTGAACTGGAGGTTTCCTGTGGGGGTCAATAAGAGCGATGCGATCACCATATTTTTCAGCAGCGATCTTCCAGATGTCAGGAACAGCTTTCCACTCATAAGATCTAGACGATGGGCTCTCAATGTTATTTTCGAGAAGTGGCGAACACTTCCTGTCCCCTTGGAAGTGTTGTTGTGGCTGATAAAATGCAAATGAAGATAAGAGTATTCATGAGTAACCTTTACTTTTTGGATTCAACAGTGCGATAAAACCACAATTCGCTCAGAAACAATGTCGAACGTCCTAAATGAAGAGTAAAAATAATGTATTAACATTATGACATGCATAACTGAGTTACCTCTCAGGATAAAATCATCATCGAAATACCACATGGATTGGCAAAGAAAATTAAATTGATCCTCATAATGATAAATTAGAAGCTCCACTCAGTTTCTAATTTACAAGAATTGAGCATCATTGTAATGAGAGGAATCATACTTCAATTGTGGCTAGAGGAGAAAGCAGTCCAGGAAAAATCTTGCAACCACGAGACCTCTTGAAGTTCATTCGTGCAACAAAGTCTTGACGCCATTGATTTAGAGGTGATTGTACTAGAGGTTTTGAAGGATTCCCAAGACAAGGATTCTTTGTGACTGGCTGTGCACAAGACTCCCATCCCTGAGATAGTAGAGAGTTCACTTGCATAGCCATTACGCTCAGTATGCCTACAAAATCAATCAATGGAAGCAAGTGACTTGTGCAAGTGAAAGAAGAAAGAACACTTGATCAGGAAAACTCCTCAAAAAATGATACAAGCTGAGAAATAAGGCTACAAATAAAATCTCGAAATACAAAAGTCCGACAAATTTTGAGCGTTTCAGAAATGAACACACTAATACCTTAAACTAGACAAAACCTTCAAATGTCGCTGAGCATTTGGAGGTATTAAGCTCTTGTCTATGTCCTGTAGCTGTAAACTCTATGAGAGATACTTGATCAAAACAGACGATTCTCTTGAACGCTCTCAATTCACAGAAACATGTGAGCTTCTGGAAGTACTTCGCAGCCGGACACGATAGAGAGGGAACACTACGAAGTTGGAAACCATCGAGCCTCGAATTCAAAACACGTTGACTTCATGTAGAGAAACTGCAAGGCAAAACATCCAAGAAATATAATACCTGCGGAACTCGGCACCAGAATTTGCACCCGCTGAACGTCTCAAAAAGCCTCCAACGAACCTGCCACACCTGATAATACCAAGACCAGCAGAAACAATCGGTCTATATTTTCTACTTCCTCCTGCTATCAACTCTATCCCAAAACATCACCAGCATTCAAACATCCAAACATCAAACCTCCAAAACCGACTCTAATCCAATTCTCAACTGAAAACAAGAGCCGAACAGGGAACACTTCAACGACCAATTGTGCATCGAAACAAACGCCGAAACAGACCAATTTTCGCGATAGAGGGACGAGAGACACGCCTTCAATACATACAAACGGAAGCGGATCCAAAAGTCACTAGCGAAGCAGACAACTGGTTTAGACCGCGCACATCGCAGCAACAGCGACAAGGCCACGGGCGAGACGAGGCGAGACCGAGGCCACAGTTTCGTCGCTGGAGCAGCTGATGGTAAAGTTCCGACTTACTGAGATTCAACATTCGTGACGTCGCACGGTAAAGACGCCATAGGAAGAGAAGCGCGGCAAGTGTTAGGCTCGTGGTTGTCCACATTATGTGGGAACTCGCCATCTCCCTTTCAAGGAATATCCATCCCCCTGGTTAGCAACTTTTCAATACTGTCATCATCCATGGATACACGTCTCCCTAAGCAAGTCAGCAAGTAAGCAAACAAGCAAGCTCCATTCTCAGGCTGCATGATGTGCGTGAATCGTGAGCAATGCTTCTTGTTGCGTCGTTACACCGGAGGACACGAGACACGCTGCATAATAAAGTATCTAAGATCTTCATCTTCATCTTCTTCTTGCTTCTTCTTTGTCTCTGTCTCTCTCTCCGTTTGAAGCGGAGCTGCGAAAGAGCTTTGTGTATGAGAGCTTCCCATGACATCACTTGGCACCGGGTCTATCGATCTTGCTTCCTATGACTTTGCGCACTTTCAAGCTTGGTTATCACACCACGTTCCCTTCCCTTCGTTGTGTACTTGCTGACGTGGCTGCCACCAGGGTAGTTTTCTTCTTCTTCCCCTTTTTGCCTTCTTTCTGTGAGAACGTGAAGGATAGCGCCATTGGTTGGGATAGAGCAGGAAAATATTATCTCAGATTTGTTTTTGCTTTGTTGATGCAATTGTTTTTGAGAAATTATAATGTTTACAATAGTATATATATATATATAAATAAATGTTCCAATATTTTTTATTAAGTAAACCTTGTTTTAAGGTTATGAATCAGATCTAAAAACATCAGTTTAAGGTTGATAAAATCTTTGAGACATGGGTCTAATGTATTAGTCGTTTCAGAAGTTGGGAAATTTTATTTTCAGCTGGCACGTATTCTACTAAAAAAAAGAAGTGCTATTCAACTTAAAATTTATTGCCTTTTACATTGTTGTTATTAAAGGATTGTTTCTTCAATTCTACATTTTATTACTTTGTACTTGATTGTTGTTAAGCATAATGGTTTATTGAAACCAAGGTTTGTTACATTATTGTGTGATAATTCTACTCATCTTGAAATTCTTCAAGTTTTTTTTTATTATAAACATGGTTAACTTAATCAACTAGTTTGATGAATGCATAATTTTAGATTTTTAAATTGACAAAAATAGATGTGTTCTGTTATCATGTAAACAAGGTCTTAAAACTCTGAAAAAAAAGTTATTTGAGAAGCCATACATGTACTCTCATGGTTGTATTTGTTGCTGAAGAAATACTAAAAGAGTGTAGCATTTTTCATTGTGTGTTATTTTAATTTCAAATGGTAATTGAATTTTAAGATGTTTAACTCAAATAGAATTAATGGGCATAATTTGAATATTTAAATACATGAAAATAAGCACAAAATTAGTTGAGTTTTTGTTTCTTTTTTAATATGCTGAAACCAGTCAAATGTTCCAATATACATGGATCTATTTATTACTTCAAAAATATCTTTCTTGTTTTTAATCTTAAATAAGTATTTCTCATAATTGAAATTTATTCACAAACACAATATAAACAACTCAAACTTATATTTGAATAAAGAAGTCATGAATTTAATCAGGTGAATTATAAAAATCGGTTTATATATACATGAAGTGATTGTTATTTTATTAACAAATGAAACTTCATATTTCATAATTATTGATGTATTTTGAATAAAAACTAAAACAAAAGGCACACTCTGAGTAAATTTTATTTTGTACCTTTTGCAGTACTACAATTCCAAAATTTGATTCATTCAAATGCAAAATGTTTTAAACTAAGTGCTGGGGTGAGTCCATAGTAGAATATTTGAGCCATGGATGTTCTAAACAACAAGCAGCATTTGGCCTTTTGTTGGGGTTAAGCTCCAACAAGGGAAGAATGAACTTGGCAAATTCTTTAGCATTAATTTCATCAAATCCATACTCGTTCACAAGCAACTTGTGGATTGGAAAATGGCCGCTTGGCTTTGTATGCTTCAATTTTCCATTTTTGGTAAAATAATGATGTGCATTTGCTCCTTTTTCTTTCAAGCTTTTCGGAATGGGACCAAGAATTTCCATCATTTGTGCCAAGTGGTCTTCATCTCGATTGTATTCACTTCCTCCCGTTTGAGGATCAAACAAGGTGTTCCCCGTGGCCAATTCAAATACAAGGCATCCAAAAGACCACATGTCCGCGGAGGTAGAATAATTGCACCCCAAAACTACTTCCGGGCACCGATATGGTCGAGTTTGAATATCACTAGTGAGGATTTTGTGGGTCCAACATGCGGACCCTAAATCTATGATTTTGCAACGAAGGTCAAGAAGACCCAATTCATGAGGAGACTCACCGTACAAATAGGTGGACGTTTGTGGATATTCAACTTTATGGTTTGGTGATGGTGTTTTGAATTCTATGTTTGTATTGTCATTTCTTGCAATGTCTGGATCCGAATCAATAGCTAGTCTTTCATCTTGTTCTAAATAGGATTGCACTTCAATCATTGTCATTTTGTCCCTATCATTTGCACAGTTGTCAATTTCTAAAGTGTTTGTAAGAAGAGGAGGCTCAAAAGAATTTTGAACCAAATTTAGTTTTTGTAGGTTTTTATTGTAATAATTATCATGTTTATGATATTGATGATGATTTTTACTCTTGTGATAAAAATCATTTAATTTTTTTTCTCTTTTTGGCATATTTTTTTTAAAATTCTTTTTAATATTTTTGGTTGATATGTTGTCACTTTTTCTAGTGAAAAATATCCTTGGATCATGGTGTGGATCCAAGGGAGATGTTAGTAGAATATTTTCAGGCTTTAAATCTGTGTGAATGATTTTGAGGTCATTGTGGAGGTAGTTTAAACCTACTAATATGTATTTAGTTATTCCCTTGACAACATAAAGAGGAAGTCCTTTATGTTTATTAGCTTTAATGAGTGTGAGCAAATTGTCACCTAAATACTCAAACACCATACACACATGCTTCCGATTTTGTGATACATTGTAATCAAAATGGTCTAAAAGTGTAACTACGGCTACTTCACCATCTTTTTTTCTACATGCCGCAACCTCTTGGTGAATTTTAATCTCTTCTTGAGCCACCTTCAAACAATCTCTTGAACAATTTTGGACTTTTAGGGCAACATGTTTATCATGTTGCTTGTCCCATGCCAACCACACGGTAGAGAAGGCACCACTACCCAACTTTTTTTGAATTATGTATTGCTCTTCTTTCAAAGTACTTCCAATGGTAATAGATAATGTTTCATCATTTTCACCACTTTCAACTTCCGAATTGGTAAAAATACTACTAAGGTTTTCGGAAAGGCCACCACTCTTATACTCTCTAGTGATACATTTAGAGTCTCTGGGTGAAATCATTGGTGAAGTGCTTTCATGGGTACTTGTTTCATATGTTTTCTTTGAACATTCACTTGAAAAAATTAAAGGTTTTGTTTTATTTTTGAAGGTTTTCTTAGACTCTTTACGACTTTTGTTTTTTGATGAATTGATCTTCTTAGGTTTTTTATTCATGCTTTTAAAAGCTAGAGTGGTTGTCTCACTTATGAATTTTGTTATTGATTCAATATCTGATTTGCAATCCTCCTCCCAACTGAATATATTCTTTCCTCCGTGTTTTTTCTTTGTAATTTTCTTTGTAGCTATAGCTCTGCAAGGATGTTTTTTATGCAAATTCATAGTTATACAATTAAATCTTTTGTTGATGGTTATAGTTATAGATAATAAGTTTGAAAGATTAAACTTATCATCGGTGGATTAGAATCAAAAATTTTCATTATGATAATTTATGATCTTCATCGTAAATAGAGGACTGCTTTTATGCCAAATTAATACTCTTTGAGCTTGGATTCAATTTTTTTTGCAAATTAACGTATTAAAAATTCTACAAATAACTTAAATCATAATTACAATTAAGAAAAAAATTAGGAATCTTTCATGATTAATACAAATCACTTGAAGCACTTATAGAATACTTTAAAAGATTTTCTATAAATTCAAAACTGATAGCATTTGGTAACAGAAGGTTGCAATGATTGTCTTTTTAAATAGAGATATGGAAAGTTATTAACTTAAGAATTAATCATTTGTAATAAAAGTATAACATCAGAATTAAATTTGGTATTATTTTTTAATAATTGCATTTAGAATGGAGATCTTGACAATTCAAGGCAAAATTGAGCAATAGGATCAATAATGTTTTATCTGTAGTTTTAAAAAAAATCAAGTACTGAACACCTATATGGTAAAAATCCTAGTAATATTTTTATTATTAAATACTTTATAATATTCCAAAAAATTAGTATTCAAAGAAGAAAAAAAATATTTTTACACAAATAATTTTATGATTTATTTTACATAATCTATATAAAAAATCACATAAAAATGATATTTAGTTAGAAATAAAAACATGTATTTGATAAAAATTTCAACCCTTATTGTATGATAAAATTATTATATTAAACGTTCAATGATATAATACATAATACATGCAAATGGTATGATCAAAATAATTCCTATTTAAGAACATCACGTTTACCACACAATAATTATTTTGAGTTTAAATTTTATCTCAAATTATAATAAAAAACTAAAATCATTCAATTGTATATCTTTAGTAGTTAAACATTACAATATGTAATTTCTTTGGCAAATTTAATATAAAGGCACAAAAGGAATTTTACTTTATTGAGAGTTTTTTATAAAATATGTGTACACATTAAAATTATATTTAAATTAGTTTTGTAGATCCAACTTAATAAACTTAAAATTTTTCAGGAATTATTAAAATGGTCTAATTTTTTAAAAGAAATTAATAAACATATTTTTGGAAACCAAGTCTATAACTTAAAAGAATTTAGGTTACTTAAAGCAAATTTTCATTCCATGTCACCACCACACCATGTTAGCAATGTTCAAATATCACCAACTTTTTTTAATTCTTTTTTTTAGATCCAATAAAAATTTATATTAAAATTTATTTACTGTTTGTGTCATGAACATCCTATTTTTAGTGTCCTCCACCGAAGTAAAAAAAAAAAAAAAAAAAAAAAAAAAAACTATTGGTTTGTTGATTGCTCCTTAGCTGAACAGTAAATGGCACTTCATGTTACTGTAGCAATCAACAAATTGGTGTTTCAAAACGTCACTATGAAACTGATTGAATTCAATGTTCTGCAAAAAAATAAAAATAAAAAGTGTATATCTTCAAATCATAGCTAGAAATTAACATGATAAAAAGTGTATATCCTGAAGAATTAAACAAAAGAGATACAAAAAAACAAACAAACAAACAGTGAGCGCTGTTGGCTGGACTTTCATTCAAACTTCAAAAAATTAACACAACATATTCACACTTATAGTTAATGTAGATTGTGTAGGAGACCAAGTTATGCATGAATTACAAGAGTTCTCAGCTGTTACTTCATTGTTTATTGTCAGAGTTATTTGCTTGCAAAAAGGATAAATCTTCTATTTGTTGTGGAGAAATTAGATTGAAATTGCTTCCCAATATTTTGTCTTACTAAGCACTCCCTTGACTTCTATAAACTTGAACAAACAAAATTCACAAGGAAAGGATTTAAAATAAGTTAATATTTAAATGAGTTAATATTATTTAAAAAAATTATCTTCTATATTTAAAATTATATTAAAAAATTAGATTTTTAATTAGAAAATATAAAAATAAATAAATAAAAACAACCACAAGAAAATTATAAAGAACCTAATGTTAACCACAAATAAGGCAATAGAGAACAACCTCTAGTAGAAGAAAAAGATTTAACTAAATAAATCAACAACATGTCAAAAAATTAGCTAGAAATTATTCATAATAGCAATTATGTAAAGAAAGTAAAAGCTAAAAAAAGTGATGGTTACATTAGTTACTTGACCAAGCTAAATTATAATCAATAAGATAGAAACAATCACAATACAAATTGTAGGTGGATAAAAAGATGATTACACAAGAAATGCTTTATTAAAAATACACGTTTAAAGTCCTTGAGCATAAATAATGATAATTTTAGATTATTAAAATAACTCTGGTTTTTTTTTATAAAAATAAGGCATTCATTATTTTAATGTATTTTTTAAATAATATGAAAAAAAGATATTTTTTTCTACAAAGCTATTTTTTCAATCTAAAAACATAAAAAATCTAAACCATATGTAATGGCTACCATAGAAGAAAGTTTAGATCTTCTTTGATACTTCAATTTTTAAAATTTCCTTCCTTGACCACCTTAAACCTTATTTAGTAATTCTAGCTATTTTTTACTATTGCTATATTTTAGTCTTATTTATTCAGAACTATTTAAGAACCATAAATGTATTTTAACAACTCTAAACTTAAAAAATTAAATTATTTTAATTAATATCTATTTTTATAATATTATCATATAATTTATTTTATACTTTAATATATTTATATAATTATTTTAATTCAAATATTACTTATATAGATATTTTTATATAATTAAAATCTTTAAAATTATTTTAAAATATAAAGTTAATCTTTAAGATCATATAATTATACATATAAATTATATTGATATTTTTAAAAATAAAATAAAGTAACAATTGAGAAAACTTTAGGAAAAAGATATATAATCTT